TAGGTATCAGGGTTTTGGATTTAGGGTTCAGGGTTCAGAGTTTAGGGTTTAGAGTTTAGGGTTCAGGGTTTAGGGTTCAGGGTTTAGGGTTAAGGGTTCGGGGCTCGGGGTTTGGGGTTCAGGGTTCAGGGTTTAGGGTTTAGGTATCAGGGTTTTGGATTTAGGATTCAGGGTTTAGAGTTTAGGCTTCAGGGCTTCATTGAGCCAATCGGATCACCCTAAGATCCAGATGAGCTGTAGTCTAAACTCCTTAAAGGGGGGGTTATATGGGGGATTATATAACATAGGGTGTAGGGTTTAAACTCCTTGCAGGGGGATGATATAGGGGATTATATAGAGGACCACTATAGGGGTAATTAAGGGGGAATACTAGGAGTTTAGACCATAGCTCAAATGATTCCTTTGACCATGGAGGCTGAGAGAGTATTACCCGAATAATGCAGACTGAAGTTCGAAATGATATGCAATTTGGGTCATATAGAGCTTTATAGGATTGATGCTTTATGAACTGCAAGCACAAGAACTAATCCATCCTTTGAACCCTCCCACACTTCCTGGTGAGAACTATTCAGATACTTCCTAACTATAAACGTTTTATGTTGTCCTTTATGCATATAAACCCATGTTGTAGTTTCCCAAAGTAGGGCGATCCCGATGTAGATCCAAAATACGACAGTCCTTGTTATGGGACCCCCGAAAAGGTGCCCCTTAACCTGGGAAACTACCATATATTTTTCTGTCACACCTATGAAGTTGCTAAGTCTTCAGGTCTAAACTCCAAACCCTAAACCCTAAACCTAAGCTCCAAACCCTAATCCGGGGAAGGCAAAGGAGGCAGATCTTACCCGGGAGCCGCAAAGTTCCAGGGAGCTGAGCTATGGCGCGCTGGACGAGTGCCTAGGTCAGTGTTTCAAAGGGTCATGCATAGGGTTTAGGGCTTAGATTTATGTAGGGCTTGGCTTAGGGCCATGAAGGAAGCCGCTAAAGATTGTAGGAGGTAATGTACAAGGATGATGGAAGGCTTGTGTAAGGAAGCTTTGTTTTTTTAGCTACACCGGGTCTGGATGTTTGCATGCTGTTACAAGCTCTGTACCTGTGGATGACGCTGAAGACAGCTATGATCCTTCAACCGAGCCCTGAACAAAGCCATCAAGCCCGAAATGATATGAGCTTGGACCAAAACTTTGGTCATTGCGGTTTGTATCAGTTTATCGGCACGTGCCAGATCACCGGAAACCCTAAGAGTGATCTTTGTTCACTGATGGAAAACACTAAAGAAAAAACAATGAACACATGTTGGTGGGTTAGATAAAAGACTGGTCTCTATAGGTTTTTGGCGCCGCTCACATGCAAACCCTGATTCCTCAAACTTAACGAACGAAGCCCTAAAGAGCCTAGCACGCGAAAGACAAATTGCTCACTTCTGGTCAGCAAGGAATGAAGGAATGGATCCTTATGTTTTTTTCTCGGGCACTGTCAAAGTCATTCATCATGAAGGGAAGTCAGGGCTGAGGAGTCAGGAACCAGGAAGGCGAG